CTTCTCAACAATACTATAACTTTAAAATAATTAATTTTCAAAGAATGTTTTAAAAAACAAATGCACTAAATTTAATAAAAGCCATGTTCAGGAGTCATACAACCTCTGGTGAGTTAATATATCAAATAAATTACAAGTGAATTTTAAAGTAATACTTCTGCAATTACATGAGCAGCATTCGTGTAGTACTGTATAATGTTTATGCTTGAGCAATGGTTCAGGAAAAGTTTCGGGAAAGCAGTATGATGCTGCATCACCCCACTTCCCCCTCCCCCTCTCCCTCCCTCCCTCCCACCCACCCACCCACCCAAAAAAATATGCTATATTGCATTAAAAATATATTCCCCCTTTTCACCTCAAATATCTAAATCAACTTTAAACAATTGTTTATAATTTTTCTCAAAAATAATTGCTTATAGGGTGTCTGGCACTTTTTAATCAGAATTCACCATGGTAATGCTGTTTCAAATTTCCCCTCTCTCTCTCTCTCTCAAAAAAAAAGAAAAAACACCAACTTCTTTTTTTTTACCAGATTATATATGCCATAAATAATATTTATTATTTTAATAATAATACAGGAAAAAATCATATTTCTTCGATACGCCTGTATGTAGTAGCAGCAGTTTATTTATCAGTGTGGTGAAGCATTGTGAACCACTCAGAGTAGATGAAACACACACACACACACAGGAGTGAAACATATATACTAAAGTGAAACACAGATACTGGAGTGCAACATGGATATTGTAGTGCAACACGGATATTGGAGTGCAACATGGATATTGTAGTGCAACATGGATATTGTAGTGCAACATGGATATTGTAGTGCAACACGGATATTGGAGTGCAGCACGAATATTGGAGTGCAGTACAAATATTGGAGTGAACTGAAGCACAGTGAAACACACATTAAACTGTGTGAATCACTTGTAGTGGCATGAATCATGGTGAAAATGTAGTACAGTGAAACACAAGTAGTGGACTCAAACAATAGTGTAGTAGTGAAGCACTGGTGTGAGAGTGAAACAAGTGGAGGAGAGAAACATTAGTGGAGTGAAACAAAACACACAGAGTGAAATACATATGGTGGAGTTAAACAGTCGAGTGCAACACACTTAGTGGAGTGAAACAGTTAACCCTTTCAGGGTCGACAGGCCCTCTCAGAAACTTGTTCTCAGGGTTGCCCAAATTTCAAAAAAAAAAATTATTTTTTTCTTATGAAAAGATAGAGAATCTTTTCCCGATCATAATGACACCAAAAGTATGAAATTTGATGGAAAACTTACGGAATTATGCTCTCGCGAAGTTAGCGGTCTTGACGATGTTTACGCATCAGCGATTTTGCCCACTTTGAGCCCAATTTTCGGCCAATTCCACTGTACTAGTCGACAAAAATCATGAATATTTCGCTAGAACTCCATTTTTTCTATCGATTGAGCACAAGAAACCACCCATTTACCGATTTCAACTATCCAATACAGTGGTCAGAATTTAGCAATTTTGCCAATTTCACACAAATTTCAAAAGATGCCAATTTCCAAATAGGGTCCAGAATAAACAAGAAAGACATTCCTGGCACTGAAATGACATTTCCTCTGTTCATTAGTCATGTCCCAATGCCCCTCTTACATTCTTTTGCTTTCCACTTTGAATTTTTATTCTCACAAAAAATAGAAGATTTACTGTTATGCAGACTACTGCATTAGTGTAAAAAATGGTATAAATAATATCGGCGCACTTGTGAAAGAATATTAGACTCACCAGTTGACGTGTATTGGACGCTTAGCATGATTTGTTTACTTTTGAACTTTGGTAAAAATCGAACATTTCTGCTACTTTGAGCTCAATTTCAAGGTACTTTTCATTGTAAAACCAGTCAAAATCATCTCAATTTCTGCAATATGTCTTCCATTCTATAAAAGGAGACCAGGAAAACTAGTATACAACAATAAATACCATATGAAAATACAGTGCAAAGTCGCTGTTTTAATCCAAAAACACGGTCAAAGTTTTTTTTTCTCATTACGCACTCTGTGCTGCAGGATTTTTTTATACTGTGCACACTGACCACATAGACCAATTCTTTCATATGTTGGCCTACCAGCTTTCTCTCACTAGATTTGAGGGCGCTAGAATTTAGGCGTGCTAGTACGTCAAAAACCCTGGTGCGTAAGCCATACTAGTATGGGCGAAACCCTGAAAGGGTTAAGTGCAGCACACTTAGTGGAGTGAAACAGTTGAGTGCAACATAGTGGAGTAAAAATGGAGTAAAACACATGTATTGGAGTGAGATGTATGTAATGAGATGAAACATACATGGAATGAAGCATAGTAAAACACATGTAGAGTGAAACTGTGGTGGAATGAAACAGTGAAACCTGTAGTGGAGTGAAACTGTGATACAAATAGTGGAATGAAACACATGTGGTGGAATGAAGCACACATAGTTGAGTGAAACACATGTAGAATGAAACACAGTGGAGTGAAAGTGTAGTGAACCACATATTGTAGTGAAACAGTGGAATGAAATACATAGTGGAGCAGAACATGTAGTGGGGTGAAACACAGGTTGAGTGAAACACAGGTAGTGGAGTGAAACATGTAGTGGAATTAAAAGTGGAGTGAAACATGGGGTGAAACATGTAGTGGAGTGAAACATGGGGTGAAACATGTAGTGGAGTGAAACATGGGGTGAAACATGTAGTGGAGTGAAACATGGGGTGAAACATGTAGTGGAGTGAAACATTTAGTGGAGTGGGTGAAACATGTAGTGGAGTGAAGCACGGGGATGAAACATGTAGCGGAGTGAAACACATGGAGGTGGAACATGTAGTGGAGTGAAACATGTAGGGATGAAATGTGTAGTGGAGTGAAACACAGTGGAGTGAAGCACACATTGAGTGAAACACGTGGAGTGAAACAGCATTTTTATTAGACTACGTTTTGCCCTCGATAAATAAGAATTAACAAAACCCTCTTTGGGAAAACATGTAATATAAATCTGCACTGTGCTGAGTGTTTCACCCTGCTGAGTGTTTCACCCTGCTGAGTGTTTCACCCTGCTGAGTGTTTCACCCTGCTGAGTGTTTCACCCTGCTGAGTGTTTCACCCTGCTGAGTGTTTCACCCTGCTGAGTGTTTCACCCTGCTGAGTGTTTTACCTTGCTGAGTGTTTCATCCTGCTGAGTGTTTCACCCTGCTGAGTGTTTCACCCTGCTGAGTGTTTCACCCTGCTGAGTGTTTTACCTTGCTTAGTGTTTCATCCTGCTGAGTGTTTCACTATGCTGAGTGTTTCATCCTGCTGAGTGTTTCACCCTGCTGAATGTTTCACCCTACTGAGTGTTTTGCCTTGCTCTGCATTTCATCCTGCTGAGTATTTCACTCTGCTGAGTGTTTCACCCTACTGAGTGTTTCACCCTAATGAGTGTTTCACCCTACTGAGTGTTTCACCCTGCTCTGTGTTTCTGCTGAGTGTTTCACCCTGCTGTGTGTTTCACTCTGCTGAGTGTTTCACTCTGCTGAGTGTTTTACCCTGCTGTGTGTTTCACTCTGCTGAGTGTTTCTCCCTACTGAGTGCTTCACTCTGCTGAGTGTTTCACTCTACTGAGTGTTTCACCCTTCTGAGTGTTTCACTCTGCTGAGTGTTTCATTTTGATGAGTGCTTCACCCTGCTGAGTGTTTCACTCTGCTGAGTGTTTCACTCTGCTGTGTGTTTCACCCTGCTGAGTGTTTCACTCTGCTGAGTGTTTCACCCTGCTGAATGTTTCACCCTGCTAAGTGTTTCACTGCTGAGTGTTTTACCCTGCTGAGTGTTTCACTCTGCTGAGTGTTTCACTCTGCTGAATGTTTCACCCTACTGAGTGTTTCACCCTGCTGAGTGTTTCACTCTGCTGAGTGTTTCACCCTGCTGAATGTTTCACCCTACTGAGTGTTTCACTCTGCTGAGTGTTTCACTTTGCTGAATGTTTCACCCTACTGAGTGTTTCACCCTGCTGAGTGTTTCACTGCTGAATGTTTCACCCTGCTGAGTGTTTCACCCTGCTGAGTGTTTCACTGCTGAATGTTTCACCCTACTGAGTGTTTCACCCTGCTGAGTGTTTCACTGCTGAATATTTCACCCTGCTGAGTGCTTCACCCTGCTGAGTGTTTCACCTTGCTACATGGACTGCACTGTTTCTCTCAGCTGTGTTTCACTCTACCTCTGTTTCTATATGCATGTTTCACTCTTCATGTCTATTTCAGTCTGTTTCATTGTCACTGTTTCAGTCTACTATGTGTGTTTCACACTTGCATGTGTTTCTTCCTGCTACATGTTTCTCTCTCCACTATGAGTGTTTCACTGTGTTTCACTCTGTTACCTGTGTTTCAGTCTGTTACCTGTATCTCACTGTTACCTGTGTTTCACTGTTCCAATGTTATGTGTGTTTCACTGTGTTCCATTGTTACATGTGTTTCACTGTTACATGTGTTTCACTCTGTTACATGTGTTTCACTCTGTTATGTATGTTTCACTGTGTTCCACTCTGTTACATGTGTTTCTCTCTTACATGTGTTTCACTCTGTTACATGTGTTCCTCTCTGCTACACGTGTTTCACTCTATTGCATGTGTTCCACCCTCTTACCTGTTTCACTCTGTTACATGTGGTTTCACTGTTCCACTGTCATGTGTTTCACTTTTCCACTCTGTTACATGTGTTTCACTCTTCACTCATGTTACGTGTGTTTTACTCTTCCACTCTGTTACATGTGTTTCACTGTTATGTGTGTTTCACCATTTCACTCTGTTAGGTGTGTTTCAGTCCTCCACTCTTGTTGTGTTTCACTCTGCTACATAAGTTTCACTCTGTTTCACTTGCCTTTATTTGTTTTATTACATATATTTAACTGTGTGTTTCACTGTGTGTTTCAGTTATAATTACTCCTAGTCTGCCAGCTGAATGAAAGCTGAGCTTTAACAGTTGTGTTCCATGAGTTGTAATAATTTTGGGACGTCGTTACAGGTGTTCTTTGACAGCAAAGTAGCGGGGAGTCCTGAAGCTGTGACTGGCACTGCTAGTTATGATACCAGTAAAGAAGTAAGTGACATTGGTACTTTTTGTTTTTTGTCTGAACCCCTTGTACCCTCTACCCTTGAGGAAATATTGGCACTTGACCACTTGCTTGTACACTCTCTCTTTGACTCTCTCTTAATCCACAATTTGGAATGGAAACTTTTAACAACAGGTTCAATGATCATTTATGGCCCCCATATAGCCAATAAAGCATTTAAAAGCCAATAAAGCATTTAAATTGTTGGAATGCCTCAGAGCCCTAATATGTACTCTGTGGAGTGGAGGAGGGAGAGATGCATTATAAAATATACAGGAAAGTGTTAGAGGGTCTGGTCCAAAATCTGCACACTAAAATAGCAAAATATTGGAGTGAAAGAAATTGGAGAAAGTATAGAATTAACCCAGTGAAAGGCAGGGGCACCATGGGAACAATAGGAGAAAATTGTATCAATATCTGAGGTCTCAGACTTTTTAACATTTTACTAGAAGATATCAGAAACACTGCTGGAAAAAGTGTGGAAGTCTTAGAGCAGACACTTGACAATTTTCTCAACCAAGTGCTGGATCAACCAGGCTGTAATGGATATGTGGACTCTTGTGAAAAGTCTCTATATATTACACAAGGTGCCATCAGCAACAGCTTGGTTAACTAGACAAGTACCAAATAAGGTTGACCAGGGCCAGGCTGCAGTAGGAAAAAAAACTCAAAACCATCAAAGGTATATCAACTGCATAAATTTTGTATGGTCATGATCAGGTTACGGCTGGTCCTGGATAATGGTTTGGGATGGACCATAATGCCTTCTAAAGTGTCCTCTCCAAATTGGGCATCAGTAGTGGATTACTCAACCTTAATCTTGTGACTGTTCCTCTTCAGTCTCCCATACAGGCATACAATGGTACCTCAAGTTTTGAACAGCTCCCAACTCGAACAATTATGTAAGTGTATTTTTGTAAGTGCTTTTGTAAATGCATTGTTGGGGGTCTGAAACGGACTAATCTAATTTACATTATTCCTTATGGGAACAAATTCATTTGGTATTGGCACTCAAACAGCCCTCTGGAACAAATTAAGTTCGTAACTCGAGGTGCCACTGTACTTCACTATTTTTTTTTTCCGACAAGTCGGCCGTCTCTCACCGAGGCAGGGTGACCCAAAAAGAAAGAAAATCCCCAAAAAGAAAATGCTTTCATCATCTTTCAACACTTTCACTTCTCTCACACATCACTGTCTTTGCAGAGGTGCCCAGATACAACAGTGTAGAAGCATATATAACATAGCCCTCCAAACTGCCACTATCCCAAACCCCTCCTTTAAAGTGCAGGCATTGTACTTCCCATTTCCAGTACTCAAGTCTGGCTATATAAAAATAACTGGATTTCCTGAATCCCTTCACTAAATATTACCCTGCTCGCACTCCAACAGCTCATCAGGTCCTGAAAACCGTTCGTCTCCATTCACTCCTATCTAACACGCTCACAAGTCCAAGCCCCTCGCCCACAAAACCTCCTTTACCCCCTCCCTCCAACCTTTTTGAGGATGACCCCTACCCCGCCTTACTACCCCCTACAGAATTATACGCTCTCCAAGTCATTCTTTTTTTATCCATTCTAAATGATCAAACAACCTCAACAACCTCTCTTCAGGCCTCTGACTAATACTTTTAGTAACTCCACACCTCCCTCTGATTTCCAAACTCCGAATTCTCTGCATAATATTTACACCACACATTGCCCTTAGACAGGACATCTCCACTGCCTCCAGTTGCCTCCTCACTGCAGCATTTGCAACCCAAGCTTCACACCCATATAAGAGTGTTGGTACCACTATACTTTCATACATTCTCTTCTTTGCCTCCATGGATAACGTTTTTTGTCTCCACAGATACCTCATCACACCACTCACCATTTTTCCTTCTTCATTTCTATGGTTAACCTCATCCTTCATAAACCCATCCACTGACAAGTCAACTCCTAAATATCTGAAAACATTCACTTCTTCCATACTCCTTCTCTCCAATGTGATATCCAATTTTTATTTGAATCATTTGATACCTTCATCATCTTACTCTTATCTATGTTCACTTTCAACTTTCTACCTTTACATACCCTTCCAAACTCGTCCACTAACCTTTGCAACTTTTCTTTAGAATCTCCCATAAGCACAGTATCATCAGCAAAAAGTGACTGTGTCAACTCCCATTTTGTACTTGATTCCCCATAATTTAATCTCACTCTTCACCCCAACACCCTAGCATTTACTTCTTTTACAACCCTACTTTTTCCGGGAAGTAATCTCCCTCTCTCCTACACACCCTAACCTGAGCCTCACTATCCTCATAAAAACTCTTTACAGCATTTAGTAGCTTACTACTTATTCCATATACTTGCAACATCTGCCACATTGCTCCCCTATCCACTCTGTGATATTCCTTTTCTAAATCCATAAATGCAACGAAAACTTCCCTACCTTTATCTAAATAGTGTTCACATATATGCTTCAATGTAAACACTTGATCTACACATCCCCTACTCACTCTGAAGCCTCCTTGCTCATCTGCAGTCCTACTCTCTGTCTTACCTCTAATTCTTTCAATAATAACCCTACCATAAACTTCACTTTTCCTGGTATACTCAGTAAACTTATTCCCCTATCATTTTTATACAATCTCTTTTGTCCCCCTTCCCTTTATATAAAGGAACTATGCATGCTCTGTGCCAGTCCCTAGATACCTTCCCCTCTTTCATACATTTATTAAACAAAAATACCAACCACTCCAACACTATATCCCCATCCCCCTGCTTTTAACATTTCTGTCATGATCCCGTCAGTTCCAGCTGCTTTATCCCCTTTCATTCTACATAATGCCTTATGCACCTCCCCCACACTCACATCCTGCTCTTCTTCACTCCCAAACGATGTTATACCTCCCTGGCCAGTGCATGAAATTACCGCCTCCCTTTCTTCATCGACATTTAAAAGTTCCTCAAAATATTCCCCACCATCTATCCAATACCTCCAGCTTCCCATCAACTAACTCCCTACTCTGTTTTTAACTGACAAATCCATACTTTCCCTAGGCTTTCTTAACTTGTTTATCTCACTCCAAAATTTTTTTCTTATTTTCTGTAAAATTTCTTGACAATGCCTCTCCCACTCTATCATCTGTTCTCCTTTTGCACTCTCTTACCACTCTCTTCACCTTTCTTTTACTCTCCATATACTCTGCTCTTCTTAATACACTTGATTGGAAAAACCTCTCGTAAGCTACCTTTTTCTCTTTCATCACACCCTTTACTTCATCATTCTACCAATCACTCCTCTTTCCTCCTGCCCCCACTCTCCTATAGCCACAAACTTCTACCCCACATTCTACTACTGCATTTTTTAAACTATTCCAACCCTCCCACTACTCATACTTGCACTATCCCACCTTTCTGCCAATAGTTGCTTATATCTCACCCTAGCTTCCTCCTCCCTTAGTTTATACACCTTCACCTCTCTCTTACTTGCTGTTGCCATTTTCCTGTTGTCCCATCTACCTCTTACTCTAACTGTAGCTACAACTAAATAATGATCTGATATATCAGTTGCCCCTCTATAAACATGTACATCCTGAAGCCTACCCATCAACCTTTTATCCACCAATACATAATCTAACAAACTACTTTCCTTACATGCTATATCATACCTTGTATACTTATTTATCCTCTTTTTCATAAAATATGTGTTACTTATTACCAAACCTCTTTCTACACATAGCTCAATTAAAGGCTCCCCATTTTTATTTACCCCTGGCACCCCAAATTTACCTACTACTCCTTCCACAACATTTTTGCCCACTTTAGCATTGAGATCCCCAACCACAAGTACTCTCTCAATTGGTTCGAAACTCCCCACGCATTCACTCAACATTTCCCAAAATCTCCCTCCCTCCCCTACACTTCTCTCTTCCCCAGGTGCATAAACACTTATTATAACCTACTTTACACCACATAATCCTTGAATTTATACATTTATATTCCCTTTTTTCCTGCCATAACTTATCCTTCAACATTATTGCTACTCCTTCTTTAGCTCTAACTCTCTTTGAAACCCCTGACCTAATCCCATTTATTTCTCTCCAGTGAAACTCTCCCACCCCCTTCAGCTTTGTTTCACTTAAAGCCAGGACATCCAGCTTCTCATTCATAACATCCACAATTGTCTCTTTCTTAACATTGGCACAACATCCACGCACATTCAAACATCCCACTTTGACGGTTTTCTTCTTTTTCTTTTTAGTAGACTATATAAGAAAAGGGGTTACTAGCCCATTGTTCCCGGCATTTTAGTTGACCTTTACAACACCCATGACTTATGGAGGAATGATTCTTATTCCACTTCCCCATGGATATGAAAGGAAAAGCAATAAGAGCAAGAACTATAAAGATAAAATCAAAGAAAACTCAGATGAGTGTGTATACAATAAATGTGTACATGTATGTGTAGTGTGACCTGTTATGGTGGATTAAGTTCCATTCCACCGCCATAAACTAAATTTCACCTTAAAGCGAATCACAGCCTTTTTATTTACTTGCCAGTGTATAAAAGCCTAAAAAAATGATGCAGTTATAATTAACACAAATATAATTGAAAAGTGCTGTATAAGTGAAGCTCTGTAAAGTGAGTGCAATATTAACAAGGTTTGCTTGTGCTGTAATAGTAATACCCTGTAGATAAAAATCTAACACAATGCAGTATGTAGCAGTTATTCAGCATATCTACAACTCACAAACCATTTTACTTATGGAGAATAAGTTCATGCTATAGTTCTTTATTCCACTTGCAATGAAGTAAAGTGTTAATGTTGCCTTGCTACTTTCAATTTAAAGGTGATTATTTCAATCACATCTTGGCTCTTGTTGCATCTTGATATCTGGCAACTTGGTTGTTTTCTTCATATTGCCCGAAATGCCTAGGCATGCTAGTGGCTTTCTTTGTAATTAATATTTTGTAGTATGTAAACCACACAGTGAAAGCT